TTCAAAAAGATCTCTACCAACATTAACTGTAGGCCCTGCCGTGTTCTGGCGCCCAGAGCTGCCGGCGCCGTGGCACTTCCTTCAGTAGACGTTCATTTAGTACCTACGGTGTACGAGGTCTTGGGCTCTGTGCATGGATTAGAACAGGGGTAGGGAGTTGGTGCCCGTTGAACACGATGACCCCCCTGCCCTCAGGAAACCGCTCCATGGCAAGGCCAGCAGCCCCGGAGCCAGGAGCAAGAGCCTGGCGCTAGGCTGGTCTGACCCAGTACAGAAAATTTATCCAGGGGAGCGGAGGAGAAAAGATCTCCCCAGATGCCACCGTGTCCATGGCTGCGTCCGTGGTAGTGTTTCTTCCTGCGTGTGAGTCCTCATGTGAAGCCACGAGGTCATTATGCTCCGTTTGCTCATTAGAGTAGTTGCCATTTTCTGCATTCACACACAGACTCCGTAATATCGGACAAAAAGACCGCATAATATCCCGTGCCCTGGGTGGGCACGGTTTAACCAGCCCGCTGGTGCTGAGCTATTAGTTGTTTTCAGTGGTTTGCTGTTAGGAGAAATACGCATCCTTGTGTACACGCACCCTTTTCCGCATGCGGGGTTGTTTTCTCAGGGTGGCTTTTCAAAAGTCAAATCACCAGATCCCAGAGTCCCGGCTACGTATCAGCACCGAGAGCTTCAAACAGATCGGACACATTCTAACCCCATACTTCGGGACTGTCCCGTAGGACTTGTTTCCCGGGGTGGACTCCGTTTTTCACCGGTGTCCACAGTGTGGACACGGTCAGGGAGGGAATTAGAGACGAGAGAAACAAAGCTAGCCTGGCTCCAGTGTCCCCCCCCCGCCCCCCACCCCCCCAGAGCTGGTGGTGGCATGGGGTGGGAGTTCTGAGGATGCTGGGCTGGCTCCCCCCACCCCACCACCGTTTCAGCCAGCACCTCCCTGGGGGCCTGCACATTCTGCCCCAGATCCTGACGTCGGTGGGCCACAGGAAGTTGAGTTGAAAGGGCACCTGACTTAGAGAATTTTAAGGAGAAAACCCAAACAGGCCAGTGGTTCATTCAGCCAACGTTTATTAAGTACCTATCAGGCACCACGTCATTGATCAAGACAGACACGGTCCTGCCCTTGTGGACCAACAGCCCCTAAGGGGAGCCCTCCCCCGCCGCCCCGTAGAGCCCCCCCACCCCACCCCACTGATCGCAGAAACCAAAGGTCTAATCGCCGTGATCCAGAACCACCAGTAAGTGGGCCTGAGAAAGCCAGGAGCAGGGCTGTTTGGCCTAGTCAGGGAGGTCAGGGAAGGCTTCCTCGAGGGACCCGGGTGGGGGGGGCAATGATACCCTAGAGTTCGGGGAGGCCCTAAGGAGCCTCAGGCCACAGGGAATTTTGGCCCCTTTCCCTAAGTGCCAGGGGGAAGCTATTAAGGGATTCTGAGCTGGGGAGGGGTTTCAAGACCAGGTTTGCGTGTCACGTGCTGGTTTGGGTTGCCCAGTGGAGAATGGCCTGTAGGGGAGCCAGAGGGAAATGGGAAACCAGCCTAACTGAGAACTACTGGAAACCGGCTAGTTGCCCAGCACACACAGGGCGGCAGAGGGACAGGCTGGGCGCTTGAACCGCAGATGCTCTGTGTTGTGAGAGGGGCCCGTGGGGCACCATGGCCAGGACGCAAGGTCACTCCGCTGGCATCCCTCCCTCACTTCCAGAGAGCCAGGAAGGGGAAGACAGGAATGGCCTCCGGACAGCCACATGCCTGGCTCGGGTTTGGCCTTGCCCAGCTAAAGCCTCAGCACTTTGCCACTTAACCCTTACTTTGCACACACTCCTGACTCAGCCTGCTGCCGGGCTGAGACGGCAAACGGGAGAGGGCTAGGCTGCCATCGGTGGGATGAGGAGAGCAGGAGACAAGATGGCACGTGGAAGGGAGAGGGCCATGTAATAAGCACCAGAGCACAAAGACATGCTTGTTCATTTGGGGGAGAGCACTACAGGAAGAGGGGGCCCTCAGATATATAGACTCCAAAGGTCAGGGAGGTCTCCGGAGAGCAAACCCACGACACGGGGTCACCAAATGTTAACGTGGATGGGACCTCAGCAACCATCTCACCCGAATGGGCAAAGCAGGCCTGACTGGTCAAGAGCAGCTGCCTCCGGAGGGAAGCCGCCAAGGCCGCCGGATCTGGGGGCCCACTTCCTTCTCCTCTTCCCTCCTCCCCTCCAGCTTTTCCTTCCATCTCCCTTCCTCCCGACAATTGCCTTCCTTGAGCCTGGAGGACTCAAGGGTCCGTTAAGCTTTCCCTCCACAAAGGGCCTCCTCTGGAGACCCAGGACATGGGTGCCCGGAGGAGCGGGAGCTAAGGGCAGGGGCTGGGGGTGACTCACCAAGGGGCCTGCTCGACCTGTCTGTCCCCCCGTTCCTTGGTCGTGACCTCCTCACAGCGCTCTGCAATCCACACGCTCCACTGTGTTCAACCTCAGCAGCACCTTTGAGGTCGGGGCGGGGGC